TGGATCAGTAGCACACTGGCTATAATATTACAAGGCAAATCTCAAACTTTAATTTACATTCGAGTATCACCTTGGGACTTTACTGAAATGCATAATTTGATTAAGTGACTCTGGGGTAGAAGCTTAGTCTACTCTAATAATTTCTTAGGTGATATTGAAAATGCTGGACCATAGACAACACTTTGAATAGTAAAATAATGCTTCTTAAACTTCTTTTAATGCAGTGCCACAGCAAATACATAAATAACTTAGAGGATCCTTTTTTTCAGACCACATGTTGGTTTGGTTTTTTTTCCCTAAATCAATGAAGATCTTTATTGTCTCATTAAAATATCACAGATTGGCCTTATGATCCAGAAGCTTGTTTCTGTGGCTGAATCAACTCCTGGATCTTATTCATCTGGCTGCTGAACGGTTCCCTTTTCAGAAACATAGCCACCATCCAAAAACTGTCTGATATGCTTGTCTTTGACTGTTGTGGCTCACTGAATCAAAGCAGCAGAATTTGAAACAAGCTCAGTGTCATTTCTTTCAAGGATTAGCTCATCTTTCTGGGCTTGAGATACTGAGCAAGCAACACCTGCCCTCATATGAACTCAGCAAATGTATTTTTCACCCAAGAAATTCCAGATTTCGACAAGAGACCCATTCTCCTGAATAACGACATTGATGGGCACGTGAGCAGACACAGACCTCATCTTCTAACGGAAGCCCAGCATGACCCCCTTGATCAATGGTCGCCAGCTCCCTTCTGTTTCCCCACCATTTGTCAATCTTCAGAGTGATGTTGAGATTTTCTGCAATGTGGACAATCTGATTGCTAAGAATGGTCCTCATTCTTGTGGGAGATGCGGCAAAGAGAGCTCATGTTCGTGCATTAGGAAAATACATGATAATGTTCCTGGGAAAATTATATTTATTAACTCAATCCTTCTGCAAATATTTATTGAGTAAATATTTATTGAGTATAGATGTCAGAAGTAGGAGTGACAGTAACTTTTGGTCATTCTTAGGACAGCCTAATTGATAATGAAAATGCAACACATGCTTCACTATACTCTTAGAGATAGATAAAGAAAGCATTGAAGAGTGACATCAAAATGCGCATGTGTAGGGAAGGCGCAGAGTAGGCAACTGTTTGGGGCCCTGCACCCTCCGGAGGCTCCCATTAATGCTCATCACAGAAGGCTCCTTACCTCCAGCCCTCCAGCCCCAGCATTTCACCTGCGGCTGCCTCTGTCTGGGAGTACAGGTCTCTGGGGCCCACTTCTCTTTGCTGGGTGATAGCCCTTCCTGTTCTCTCATTAGAAACTGTGTCGTTTGAAGAAGAGGGTCAGAGAGAGAGAGAGCTCAGCAGCACAGCACCTGCCTGGCAAGCACGAGGCCCTGAGTTTAATTCCCAGTTCCTAACAACAACAACCCTCCCACAACTAATAGTTGATGAAGCAAAAAGAAAAAAAAAAAAAAAAAACAGGAAATATCACTTAAAAATTAAGGCGAAAAATCAGACAATTCTTTCCTTTTCCTGCTTTCTTACAGCTTAACAAGTTTATCAGTATTTTGGACCCAAATGCTGGACCTAAATCCTATAGTGGTGTCTACTGGAAGCACAATAGTAAAGGAAAATATAGTAGTCAAAATTCCAAGTTTATTCTTTCCAGAAAATGGAATGAATGTTTGCCTCAACTGTGTGGTTGTCATCTATTTACATTTTATTTTATTTTATTTTAATTTTTTTGAATCAGGGATTGAACTCAGCCCTTTGTGCTTGCCCGGCAAGTGCTTATTCTACTAAGCTATCTCCCGAGCCCCTGTCGTCTATTTACTACAAAATTCTAAAGCCATGCAAAGCTCCAAAGACAATCCGAAAATCACTGAAAACCACTGTATCCTCAATAATTTATCTGTTCACAAATAGGCAAACTTATTACAGTATTCTTCTGCCAGAGGAACAAACTTAAATCACATCTATAATTCAGCATTAATTTGTTTGATTATATGTAGTGTTACGCACGTCGGATACTAGGATATTTATACCAAGGGATGAGGTATATACACACAGCAAGCTGGAGGGCACGAGCCCAAATGACAAACCTAGATTTTTTGAGAACGCCAATTTTAATTAAGATTTGAAGGTGGAGAAGAAAAATGTTTAATGTGACTAATAATAAATTTAAACTATTTTACACTAAAATAAACATGGAATAGGTCCTAACAAACTAGATAAGAAGAAATTTCCTAATTTGAGGGGTCAGTTACTTGTTTGTAAAGGAACTTCTGCAGTGGGACAGCTCAAGAAACATGCCTAAGTGCAAGGACATATTTCATTGATAAGATCTTGGGGGAAATAAGATTCATTTACCAGAATGTTTTAATCTTAAGCAAATCATCCTTTTGAAAACTAAACGTTCAATGTTAAATGTCTTGCATTTCAACAAATGCTATAACAGTGCAAAGACATATTTACTTTACAAATAAAATCACTGGACAAAATTTTTAATTGTTTAATGACATAAAATGTTAGAAACAAGAGGACTACTGCAATCAGATGGCCTATGTGCTATAGGCCTTCTCTTGTTAATTTTATTCAGGAAGTATGAATAGTCAATTTCAGAACCAATTTTTTTGTGGGGGGTACTGGGTATCAAACTCAGGACCTTACATCTGCTAGGTAGGTGCTTATGCCACTAAGCTATATCCCCAATCCCAAAACAATTTTTTTAAAAATTTTTACATAGACCCTTAGAAAATCTAAAATGATTTAAAGTAGCCTTTGTCATTATAATAAGATTCCCAATCTTTAGACTTTCCTACTAAAGGAAAAAATAGAAACCAGGAGAAGAGTTGGAGTGAGGTCTGATTTGCAGGACAGAAACCCAAATACTTACAAGGCATTGCGTGGTATATGCTTGGCCAATATTGTCCACTGTCTCTCTTTAGCCAAACGCGAACTGTCCTACAACAGAAGAAAACAAGTACATGAAATCTCAGCGTTTTAGTCATAGAAGAATGGTGAGATATACAAAGCAAATCTCTTAACACTATATATGTATTGTATCTTAACTACATATAATAGTTACGTAGCTTCGGGGCCTGCCTCATGGCTCAGTTGTTTAAGTGGCTGCTTCAACAAAGCAGTCAGGCTCAGGCTGCTGTGGTTTGATCCCCACAACTCAAGCCAGCCAAACCTGCCCTGAAGGCATTCTGAGCCAGCCAAAAAAAAAATCTTTCCGCCATTTAAAAAATAAAGTTATGTAAGTTCATCATATACATCCCCTACATATACCTCTCTAAAAATTCTGGTCCTTAAATTTAAAACTTTTGTACTTAAAATTACATGACTCTTTAAATATCTTCTTCATATGTACACACATACACACACATCTAGTTGTGATCGTGTTAGAAAATGACTTTTATTATTGTTTTGCCTTTCCAAGTGTCTGACCAGTGCCCTTATCTACAAGTAGTTTCCTGAGAAGCCTCAATATTTTACTTTAGCGCAGGGATCAAATGAACACAGCATCTGATGCTAACAGGATTACACAGAGAGACCACAATCATATAGGCCTGACACGTATCCTAAGGGGCAGCTTTTTCTTAGTAGCAGATCAAGTGATGGTAAGTTCTGAGAATCTGGTCTTCTGAGCTGGTGGACTGGCCAGGGGGCCTCTGTGGAGCAGGTGATCCTGAAGCAAGGGCTAGATGAAGTAGCAGGCCAGCAGGATAGAGACAAGGTGCCCAGGAGAACTCAGAACAGGAGTCAAAGATAAGGAAAGAGCTGGGGAATACCAGCAGGTTCTACCCAACCAGCAGTACCAACCAGGAGTCACACTGGCTGTGTGAGATTCAGCATATACCTGCAGGGCAAACATATCAAGGAAGCTAAGAAACACTTTCTCTGCACAACCCCACGTTGCAAAGCAGTACTAGTGGTTGAAGAATGAAAACATTGCTCCTAAAAATCAGAAACTAGAACACCCACTTTCTCCACTTGTTAACCAACCCTGCAAGAAGTTCTAGACTGGGTAATCAAGTAAGTAAAATAAAAAGCATCCAAAGTGAAACAGAAGAAGTACAACTACCTCTGTTTGTAGGAGACATAATCCTACATATGGAAAATCCTAGAGAATCCACATACACATGCCCCAAATGCCCTATCAAAACTAAGAAATAAATTAAGCAAAGTTGGGCTGGCCAAATAGCTCAGCAGATTAAAGTGCCTGCTTAGGCAGACGCAGGGGCTGAGAGTTTGATCCCCAACCCCTAACCTCCGTGGGCCTGCCACGCCGGCCCCACCCCAGTACTGAGACAGTGATTGAGACTGGGTGTGGTGGTGCACGCCTGCAATCCCAGCAATTAGGAGGCTAGAAACAGGAGGATCACTATGAGTCCCATCTATGCAGTGAGACCCTGTACACCCTGTCCTAAATACAAAAAAAAAAAAAAAAAAGAGAAATTAAGCAAAGTTGCAAGATATAAGATCAGCAGGCAAAATCCAATGGTATTTCTAATGGCAAAACAAACATTTCTAAAGAAATAATAATTCCCAAAACATCTTAAAACAGACATTTCATCCTCACTGAAAATAAACCTTCTAAACCAACTTTATTAAGAGTGATTGATAAATGTTTACTTAAAAATCACATTATATAAACTTTTTCCTCCTGTGACACAACCAGCAGTTTATAAAAGAAAATAAGTGCATCCTAGAAATAAAAAGTACAACTTGGATAGCTAGAAGTGCCCTAAATAAACGTAGATTCTACACTTAGAAGTTTGAAATTTTTGAAAATTATATTTAAAAAGAAAAAACACAAAAAAATTTTACTACTTATTTCCTTGGAAAAATTTTTTAGAAAATAACAACAGTGGTAGAAGGTGTAGCTCAGCATGTGCTTAGTACCAGGCCCTGGGTTTGATGGGGGTGGGAGGAGGGGACAGAAAGGAAAGGAAGACCAGGAAGAAGAAAAGAACTGTGATTAATAGACATGGTGGCAAGGTGGCTCATATCTGTTATTCCAGCACTTGTGAGGCTCAGGCAGGATTGCCACATGGTCAAGGCCAGTCTGGGCTACACAGTGAGTTCAAGATGAGGTAGAAGAGAGGAGAAAGAATAGGATAGGAGGGGAGGGGAG